AGGCTGTGTTAGGGTCACTCTCAGAGTTAAAAGACAGAAGAGAATGTTATATATGAATATTTTGTGTCTAATATGTGGCGTGGTGTTTGAGTACATATCCATGTGGGTACTTTTCTAGACATGGGAGACGTGTACGTTGGCAGCATCTCTTAAGACTACACCTCTAAAGGCAGGGTGTGTTGCTGTCATGGTTGCACTTCATTGCTTCTAGGGGAGTCCTGTGGAAAAGAGGTAGGGTAAGACCATGTTAAGAAATTTAAGAGTGGGGGAAATTAAGAAAATTGATTAAATCTAAGTTAAACTTACAAACTAAATTTAATTAAGAAAACTAAGAATGGGGAGGAGAGGGAGTAAATTTTTCTCAGTTATCATGAGGGAAGAGGGAAATAGACAACTATTCTATATACAGTATATATCTTTGATATATTATAGTTTAGGTGATTTATATTATCTTTTTTGTTTTTTTAAGAGAAGAAAGGAAGACACTGAAAGACACGTTAGTGTCAAGCTGGAGGTGGAACCCCAGGACATGTATCTAAGTTTCTTGGCTTTTCATGTGACATTTTATTAAATTACCTATTCTGCTACTGACAGATGCCAGTTTCAATTAAAAATATACTGATACATTCATAGAAGGACTAGAAATTTACCACTGAGGTTAAATAATACTATCTTGATGTAAGTATTTTAAAATAATCACTGAATTGGCTTAAAAACTTAGCTTTTAATAGCATTACACATAGCTTAGTCTTAAAAAATTTAATGTAGATTTCTTACCCGTAGTATGTGAGCTAATAAACTAATATGTAGATAATTTAGTGAAATATGTTATGGAATTCTCATTTTGATTTTTTTAAATTAGGAACTTAACCCTGATTAATACTAAATACTCAGTGTCTGTATTTCCAAACATCTTTTGTATCAAAACCTGTGATTTTACATACTTGTAATGGGTGGCTAACTACATATTTTGCCTTTCTCCTTAACCTTACATAAATGTTGAAACAGTTTGTCTTAATATACCAGAAAAAAACCAAAACAAACAAACAAAAAAGCCTGGAATAGACCACTGTGTTATCACGTAGTTTCAACATTCCTTTGTGATTTTAATTATTGGCTATTGTAAAAAGTGATGCTGAGAATGTCTTGGTACAGATTACTTTCTTTTTTTAGTTGTTGATTCCTTGGGAATATATTTCCTTGGTGGTTTATTACAGAAGCAGAATTTCCTGTTCAAAAAAGCTCTGAAGCTTCTGTTGTGTATCGGCAACTTTCTAGAAATACAAAGCCAGTTTATGGTGCTACCAGCAATATTTATCTACTTGTTTACCAATAGTCTCATCAACATTGGCATTTATAATTAATACTTATTTTGCTAGTTTAATGAGTATATTCTCAGTAGTACCTTAAAGTCATTTTGATTTGTAGTTTTAATTAGTAACACAATTGTGTATTTTTTGTTAGCATAAGATTTGTTTGTGAAGAGTTCTCATTTCCCTGTTTACTGAGTGGAGTCTGAGTGATATCTTTATATATTTATTTAATCATTTCTTTATTTTGCATAGCAACTTTATTATGACTGTTGTATATTTTTATACTCCATTACTTTTATTTTGGTATTTCTTTTATTTTACCTGTTTAGGAATTTAAAATCAAATATATTATCTGTTTTTATCATAACCTATATATCCTTCTTAATCATATTATTCCTCTAAAACTAGATTTGTTAAGAATTTTTTTTTTGCAAAAAAGATTAACCTATTTAGGTTTTATTAAATGGTATTGTGAAGTTATAGGTCCAACTTAGTTTAGTAGAATAATTTTTTTCTTTCATTTTAAGAAATTAGTTTTTTTTATTATAAAAGATCTATATTTTTCTTTTAGAAATGTACAGATTCATTCTGAGAGCCTCTTAATATTTTAGAGTATAATCATTCTGGTTTCTTTATTTATACTTTTTAAAAAGAAATGTGATGATATTCTATGGCTGGTTTTATAACCTGCTTTTTAACTTAGTGGTTTGTGAATATTTTCGCATACCATTTTTTTTCTATAACATTTTGATTGGCTGCATTGTGATCTAGCTCAGCCTATAGATGCACCATAATTCACTTAACTAACCTTCCAGTATTACATATACTTTTATCAATAGCACTATAACTAGAATCTTTGTAGTTATATCATTATACACATTTTCAAATATTTTCTTTGGGCATATTTCCACAAATGAAATTGCTTAGCACTTTTTTAACATCGAAAAGATAGGCTGGAATGTGGTAAAGCTCTGAATGCTAGGTGTCTAAAGACTGGTAGTTTGGCTACTTATTACCCACATAGTAAGCCACTTTGGCTTGGGATAAAGATTTTAGTAATCACATAATATACTGACTCAAAGATGCTTATGTAATCTAGAAAACTGTTATAATTCGAAAAATGGCCAAAGTTTTGATGTGGACATACTTGTTTCATATGTGTGTGAAGAGTTTGAATAAAATTGTTCTATAAAATGTGAGATGAAGCAAACTATTTCTGAGCCAATATTTTATAGGTCATGTGTTTTTAATATTTGAGTATGGTAATAAGTTATAAATACATATTTGTATATTCAAATGATAAAAATGTATTTCACATATTCTCACAGGTAAATTGGGGAGCTCACTTTATATTTGGAATTGCCTTATGTTTGGGCATATTTAGCTTATGACCTTAATGCATGAATTAGTAAAGAAAAAGATTGGAAATTACTTAGGTAAACTTTCAATCTTAAGGATTAGGAATGAACCGTAGAGTAAAGCCAAAGCAACTTGCGAGAGGAAAAATAATGAGGAAAATGACAGAAATTAATAAGAGAAAAATAAAAGTCAACCAAACTGAAAACTAATTTTTAGACCCATAAACTAGGCAAACTTCTGGCAAGATTAATCAAGAAAAAGGAAAGGCAAAAATTAACAGTATTAGGAATGAAAAGAAGGTTTTAATTTCCAGATGTAGCGATATAAAAATTATGAGAATATTATAGATAACTTTCTAGGAATATGTAAATCACTCAGGCTTGAAGAAAAGCAGATTTAGCTATGGAGTAGGGATTTCAGTGTCGTAGCCGTGTTATGTTTGAGATAATTCTTTAGATGTTGAGCAAGCTACTAGCTTATATTAATAAATAATGTGAAAAGCAGGTCATTTTGGAGGCTGTTTTAATCAAAACTTGAGATGATAAGATCTGAACTAAGGCAGCAATAGTTGGGATGCAAAGAGTATAAAATTAAAAATTTGAAGAACATTTAAGTGACTGTAGATAGGGAATAGGCTAGGAAATATTAATAAGAAGAAATGAGGTTTTGGCCAGGCAAAGTGGTACACTCCTTTAGTCCCAGCTACTCCGGATGCTGAGGTGAGAGGATCACTTTAGCCCGGGAGTTGGAGGCTGGCTGCAGTTAGTTGTGATTGCACCACTGCACTATAGCCTGGGTGAAAGAGCAGGCCCTGTCTCTAAAAAACAAAACAAACAACAGAAAGAGGGCTGATGTGGTGGCTCATGCCAGTAATCTTAGCACTCTGGGAGTCTGAGGAAGGAAGATTGCTTGAGGGCAGGAGTTGAAGACCAGCCAGGGCATAACGAGAGTCCATCTGTAGAACGAAATTTTAAAAATTAGCCAGGCAGTGGTGGTGTGTGCCTATAGCCCAAGCTACTTGGGTGACTGAGGCGGGATGATGGCTTGAGGCTGGGAGTTGGAGGCTGCAGTAAGCCGTGATGACACCAGTGCACTCCAGCCTGGGCAACCGTGAGACCCTGTCTCAAAAGAAAATAAATGAAATGAAAGGTTTATACCTTCAATTGAATGTCATTGTCCTGTGACTCAGATAAAAAAATAAAAATCTCAGGAGGAAGTTCCCTCCGTTAAATTATCGTGAGTAAAAGGTAGGGAAATGACTTTATTTCAGTGCTTCATTTTTATTTCAATTTGGACAATTTTCAGTTTTATTATTTGTGGTATCTAAAAAGCAATTGAGAATATAACTTTAAAACTCAAAATTAGTTGTATATTAATTTAGTTGATCCTACTGTAACAAAGTTTCTCAGCAGAGATATTAGATAAGCTTTTCTCAAGTAATAATTTATCTAATATAACATATCAGTATAGGTTTTCAAATTGGAATGATATTTTTTCTGGACATCTAATAATGATTAAGAATTTTAGATCTGTTGGTAGATTTATAAAGAAGAAACCCAATTTTGTTATTTGTTTGTTAGTAAGAACATTTACCCCAAGACAACAAGATGGTTCTCTTTGATTAAGATTTATTGCCTTTAGGGGAGAAGATATACTTTAACATTGGTCTTAAGGGTAATTATAAATTTCAGTGAAGGGCACTAGCTTGCTGGTGAGTAGCGTGCATGTCGTTAGTATGCAGAGCTTTGGCTGATTTTTATATGTTAGGTGGATAAGCTACTTAGGTATTCTTCTCTACTCAGATTTTTAAACTTCAGGAGGCAAAAATAGTTTTCTTGTTATTTGTCTTTTTGTAGATTACATTAATCAGAATTTCCTTTTGTCTTTGGCAGTACAGAAAAATGTTGAAAAGTATTTTTGAACTCAACTCTTTGGAATCTGAATCCATCTGTCCTCACTTTTACTGTCCCTTTCTCTAACATCTTGGGTATAAGGATGAACCTGACTCAGAGAGAGGCAGTGTTTGGGCCCTTAGCAATCATGTTTGCTTGCTATGTGTTGTCTGTAATTTAATTAAAACTTATAAGCAGATCAATATGCTATGTTATTTGAGATGTATGGTATTTTAAATCTCAGATTTCAGTCTTTTTAAGGAATGTGAAATGCTAGTAGAAGACATTGAAAATTAGAATAAAATAAGAGAACTCCATGTTACGTTAAGCCCACATTTTAAAATGTTAATGTTTTAATTTTTATTCTGTACAGATTACAGTTAAGAACCTTATATAAAAAGAAAATAGATAAATTATGCTGTCTTTTTCTTAACAGAAGGTGGCAACGGAATTCATAGAAGTGAAGTATTTTTAAAGAAGGTAACAAAAAGAGAAGGAAAATGCCGAAACCAGTAAGTGTATTTTACTACTTTTGATACCACTTATTTAATAAGATATCATTAAGTTCTTTTGGACTAAGGCAGAGTATTATGGTAAAGTTGTTGGAAGAAAAAGGCACTGCTAATACTGTTAATCGTTTTAGATTAACGTGGCTAGAGTGTAGTATTACCTGGGCAGTGAAGAAGAGGTATGGGTAACATTGCAGTAAAAGCTAAAATTCATGGCTTCTGGGGTCAAACTGCCTGAGTTCTTACCTGGCTGTGCCACTTAATCTGGGTAACCTTTGTTAATTTGGTTCAATCTGTCCAGTTCTTAATTTCTTCATATATAAAATGGGGATATAATTAGTAATTTAAGGGAATATGGTGAGGATTAGAAGACTCTAGTACATATTCAACACTCAGTAAATGGTAACTTATTGTTAAACAGGAAGAAATGATGAGAGGTTGGGAGGATCCATGCATTATTAATTTTCTCATAATTCTGGCTTTGATGCAAGTGATACTGATGTTATATAGTTTTAGATTTTTTATTTAGGAATATACCTGTGATCATTTTACTTAGTTTTATAATTATTTGATTTTCTTAACTAAGGTTTTTTTCCTTTTTTCTTTGGGTAAATGTTCTTTTCTTCATCTAATAAAATGGGTTTTTTCAGTAATGTTTCTTTTGGCCAATTATCTTTTTAAAGAAAATTGTTGGTTATAGTTGTTGGAAATTTCTGGCATGAATATCCCTTTGGAATGACTTTAAACACTCAGCAGATAACAAAGTGTGCATTGATGGAGGGAGAAAAGAATAAAAATAAATAAAGGGCATAAAGATGAGAAAGGAAGAAGCTTTCTATTTGCAGATGGCATTACTGTTTATGTAGAAAATACTTACGAATCTAGAAAATGGCTATTAGAATAACTGAACTTAGCAAGATTACTGGACACAAGATTATATTTTTTAAAAAATCAGTGCTCTTTTTTATATATTATCAGCAAAGTTTGAAAAATGAAGTAACAGCATCAAAAACATAAAACACTGAGGAATAAATGTACAGAGGCTGTACAGTATCTCTACACTGAGCACTTGCTGTAAGAAATTAAAGATGTAAATATATGGAGAAATATACAATGTGTATAGATATGTTTATATAGTACTACTGAGATGTCAGTTCTTGCCAGATATATTGGTAGATTAAATTCAATTCCAATCAGTTGAATTCCAGCAGGCTTCCTTGGTTAAAATTCACTAGATTATTCTAAAACATGTATGGAAATGCCAAAATTTATATGGAATGGCTAAAGAAATTAAAAGGAAACTTAGAAAACTTACACTCCTGGATTTCAAGACTTATTCTCAAGCCACAAAGATAAGACTAGTAAAAGGATAGATAATAGGATCCATGGAACAGAAATATACCCACACACAAACACACCTATGTATTTCTTAGATTTTTGACAAGGTGTTACACAGTTTAACAGGGAAATTTCAATTTGTTATTTTGTTTATTCGTTCGAATCTCTCTAACCTGTTCTGTAACCAGTCAGAGAAAACTCTTTGTCTTTAGAGGGCTCACATGCTCAGCTTAGGCCCACCTAGATAATCTTCCTGTCTTAAAGGCAACTGATTAGTAACCTTAAGTACTTATGCAAAATCCCCTTCTTTTTTTTTTTTTTTTTTTTGAGACAGGGTCTTTCTCTGTTTTCTGGGCTAGAGAGCAGTGGCATCATCATAGCTCACTGTAACCTCAAACTTCTGGGCTCAAGTGATCCTCCTGCCTCAGCCTGCTAAGTAGCTGGGACTATAGGTGTGAGCCATTGTGCCTGGCCTGCAAAACCATTTTAACATGAAGTGTAACATAATCATGGGCATAACACCTGGAGGGCAGAAATCGTGGGGCCATCGTATAATTTTGTGTGCCACATACTATATACAGAAATGTTGTTAACCTCTTCAACAATCAGGGATCCTCACATTAAGACCATATTGAGATATTATTTCATACCCACTAGATTGTCAAACATTAAGAAATCTGATAATACCCACTGTTAGTGGAAATACAGATCAGCAAGTATTATGAGTTGTAAGATAATTCAGCATTATGTGGCAAAGTAGAAGGTGTGCACACTTTATTACCCAGAAATTCTGAGTGTATATTAATACTACTAAAGAAATTCTGACACATACACTAGGAGACATGTACAAGAATGTTCATAGCAGTATTGTTCTTAATAGCCAAAAAATTGGAAACAATATCCATTGAGAGGCAAATGGGTAAATAAGCTATTGTTTAGTCACATGTAGAATATTGTGTAGCAGTGAAAATGAATTGTAACTACTCACAGAAAAAGTGACTCTTAGAAATATAACTGTGAAAAATCAAACTAGTGTAGTATAATTTTAAAAAATCTTTTTTCTTGAAATAGAATATACATACCCAAAAGAATATATCAAAAGTGTGTAGTTGATATATTTTCATAAATTGAATACTCATGTAATCATTACCCACATCAAGAAAGACTTTATTAGCAAGTACTGTGGAATTTATAATACAGGTACAAAATCAAGAAAAATGAAATTATTTTATATATAGTTACCTACATTTTTGATAGAACCATTTTTTTTAAAAAACAAGAGAATAACAAACACAAAATTCATGTTAGTGCTTACCTATGGGGACTTGGGGATAGGGTATTTACCAAGAAGAAATATAGTGGCATATGCAATATTTGTCATTTCTAGTAATTAAGTTAGATGGCGGATTTATGGATTTCATTTTATTATGCTTTATTGCTTATATATGTTAAATGTTTTGTATATACCAATATTTTGTAATAAGATATTATTTTAAAGAAGAATAAAAACAAGATTATTTTAAAGAAGGATGAATCTGTAAGATTTGATTAGAGCGGATACTCCATGTAAAAGCCACAACATGTGTTGAGGTTGTAATTGTTAGAATTGGTAAGACACTTAAAAGGAAATACAAAGTCTGATTTAGAGCTCTTGTAGTTGTGAGTTAAAGTTACTAAGATAAAATGGCACAAGCTCTGTCTACAGTAAGTATACAGGCTGCTGGAAAAGGCTACATAAAAACAAATGCAGTAATATGTATGACTAAAAAAAACTTAAATATAATTGTTATCAGAAACAAAGTAGGAATGGGTGTAGGTTTATGCTGGTAAAGGAAAAAGTAAAGATTGTTAGAAATAGATATAGAAATAGCAAATAAGGTATGGGAAAATGAAAAGAAAAAAATAATAAAAAAAGGAAAAGAGATAAATTTGGATCACATGAGGAATTCTAGGTGGGATGCTGTTCCAGGTAAAAATTATTTTGGTAAGGCATGTTAAGTTTTTGAGATATTCAATTAGATATTACACGAGAAAATTGATCTTTAAAATAGAGCCTAGCAAATAAAGGACTGTAGATGAATGTTTTTCATAAAGTGAAGAATACATTTGCAGAATGAATAAAACTAAGTGTTTGAGTTTTGCGTTGAAAGAAATATGGGCTAGGGAATGACATCCAAAGAATTTGGAGTTAGACCTCAGTTTAAATACCTGTTATGCCTTTTGATATCCCTGTGTCCTTGGGCAAGTGGTGGAAACTCTTTATTTCTATAGAAATGAACATAATGTCTTCTGGTATTGTTGGAAGGGCTAAATAAGAGTATAGAAAGCCCTTGGCCTGGTGCTCAGTATGTGTTAAGTATTCAGTGGATAATTTTAGATGAGGACTTCATAAGCTCTTTGTTTTTCAGATAGATTTAAGATTTCCTGTGGTTAAAGTCAAAATTTATCACTTTATCTAGTAAAGAAAATATTATAAATCAAAGTATTTTCTCATGTCTAACAATAAGTATATTCTCTTTTCTACTTATTATCCCTTTTGTTTTTATTACAGATCAACGTAAGAGTAACCACAATGGATGCTGAGCTGGAATTTGCCATTCAGCCCAATACAACTGGCAAACAACTTTTTGACCAGGTATCATTTATCCACATGAAGTATGCAACTTTTGACACCATAGTGTGGATGCTATTCCATACTTTTTGTTTTTCTATACCTTTATTAACAATCCAACAAAGTAGCACTTGGAATTTTTCATATTACCTTTTCTGATATTTTGAACAGCAATAGGGATATTCTTTATTCTATTGTATTCATTCCTACATTTGTGGGAAAGGACTTTTAAACAAATAATTATTAGCAGGTACATCTGCTATGAAAATCATTGTGATTGGCAACTAACAGGGATTCAGAGATACTCTACATAGTCCTTGAGTGGAACGGGTAGAAGTCCTATACAGAGGGGACAGCAGGAACAAAGTCTGAGGGAATCACAGGTTGGGCATCACTTATCCAAAATGCTTGGGACCAGAAGTATTTAGGATTTTGGATTGTTTTCAGGGTTTGGAATGTTTGCATGCACAGAATGAGGTATCTTGGGGATGGTACTTAAGTTTAAACATGAAATTCATTTGTGTTTCATATACATCTTACACACAGCCCAGAGGTATTTTTATAAAATGTTTTTAATAATTTTATGCATGAAACAAAGTTTTGACTGGGGCTCATCATGTGAGGTCAGGTGTAGAATTTTCTACTTGTGGTGTCATGTTGGCACTCAAAAAGTTCCAGATTTTGGAGGATTTCAGATTTTGGATTTTTGGATTAGGGATGCTCAACCTGTATAGGCTGTAAGGAGACAACTGACAGCATTTTGGTGTCATAAGTACATAATGTGCTAGGCAGGGATTATGACATGGAGGGTCAGGTACGTCGTGTTAAAGAACTTAGACTACTGATCTTGCCTTTTTTCTCAGTCCTGAATGCACATTGGAGTCACCTGTGGAGCTTAAAAAAGGCCATGCTTGGAAACCTCTTCCAGAGTTCTGATTTAATTGTTTAGGCCTACTCTAAACCATCAATAATTTAAAACTTAAGCTCCCCAGGTAATGCTGTATTGTAATATTGTAACTAATCTAGTTTTACTGAGAAAAAGAGGAAAGAAATTGTCCCCAGAGATCAGGTAAAAGGGTGAAGAGAAGATCGCAAAGAGAGAAGAAAGTGATATAGCTTAAATGCCATGAGACAGAGTAGGATAACTGTTACACAAACTTTTCCTTAGGAGAAGGAGAGCAATAGTTTATAGTCAGACTAACTTGATCTTAAAGAATGAGAGATTCTAGCATGACAGCAATAAATAACATATTAGATATCTTAGTTTTATTAGGTGTCATTCTATCATATACTGATCTAAATCTGATGAAATAAAAATTTGAAATTACTGGAGAGTTGTTTCTTCTCTTGATAAGTAGTATATTTAATCTCCTGACTAGGTAATTAATGAACTTTTAAAGCCCTGATGAGGTCTTTTTGGAAGATGAGAG